GCTCGGAAAAGGGAAGAAAAAAACTTTCTACTATCTAGGATACAGACCAACCAACTTTCACATTTGTCTTCTTATGGGATTGTTCCGAAACTAAAATTATCTTGAACTCGAAACTTTTATTTTGTTTGTGCGATCGACAATGCTTTAATTGAAATTATTATATAATTTTCATTTATTTCTTAACAGAGCAGTCGAAATAGTGATACTAGTCATTAATAAAAATATGTAAAAATACGATTATATAGTATATTAAAAAATTCGTATCATCTTTTGGTATATTGATAAGATATTCTCAGCTTTGATATTATATATAGAATTATGTAAAATAACTATAATTATTTAAAATGTTTTTGTTTTATTTATTTTATAATACAAATTATCTACGCAACGATATATATATATATCCGAGTACTCACGTATTGACAGCACTACGTATTTTCTTCCACAACATAAAGATTGTTAGTTAAGAAAATAGAAAACACAGAAGGAGATTACACTCGAGATTACATTCGATAAAGTAAGTATTTGTTTTTGCCAAAGAAATGCAACTGAAATGCAATAAGCAAACACAGAAATAAGAAAGGCGGTGCAAACATAACACAGCGATATCTTGCAACTACTGCTCGAGACATTCCTCTTGTGTGATCAGCATTATCCGAGTTATTTTTCCAGTTGACAATTGTATCGCACACAGCGTATCACCGACATACGTACGTCATTCGTGCACACGTGCGTATGTACGTGATTTCTAATCGCATTGCGAAGAATACGCCGATATGAATTATAGGTGCTTGAACACGAATACGAATGACAATATGATATAGTATAAGTGAATATGAGATTTAAGTATACTACTCATGAACCGGCACGTATATGAGGACTTCTAAAACTGGCTCGGAAAAGGGAAGAAAAAAACTTTCTACTATCTAGGATACAGACCAACCAACTTTCACATTTGTCTTCTTATGGGATTGTTCCGAAACTAAAATTATCTTGAACTCGAAACTTTTATTTTGTTTGTGCGATCGACAATGCTTTAATTGAAATTATTATATAATTTTCATTTATTTCTTAACAGAGCAGTCGAAATAGTGATACTAGTCATTAATAAAAATATGTAAAAATACGATTATATAGTATATTAAAAAATTCGTATCATCTTTTGGTATATTGATAAGATATTCTCAGCTTTGATATTATATATAGAATTATGTAAAATAACTATAATTATTTAAAATGTTTTTTTATTTTACTTTGTAATTCTGTTACCGTTATTCCGTGTGTTATGTTATCGTGAATATAATTGAGAGCATAATAATCTAATTTATATTCCGTCGTTGATTATCGCACGTGCATGTTTGAGATAAAAAGTGTAAATAAGATATACTGCAAGAAAATACATATAAATAACACTCATCAATTTGATGAAGACAAAAATTACGAGGCACAGATATTAATTTCAAAACTTTACTTCGCGATCCCGTACTTGATTTCACTCAAATCAGACGCGTGACTCCGTTGTACAAGTGGACGTAGGCGTATGTAAAGCAGCATATACAAAGCTGAGGAGGAAATGTCGTTTAGATGGCAACAGTGCCAACCTCGTGTTGCACTAATTTATATTCTTGTCATTTACTAATTAATACAATTCTTGCAAAAACGTTAGAATATACGTTTTTACTTCGCTAAAGGCGTGATGTGTATAAATATTATTTCCATGTTTTAATATAGATAATTATACTCGTCGTTCTCATGTATATTCTACTTTAAATTTACTTAATTTTTATATTTAAACAAAAGTTCTGCATAAAACAACATAACGTTGAAATCAGTTTTTTTAAATAACTCTTAATTTTATCGTGTAGCAAAATTAAAAGTAAATATTTTACATTTTAATATCCATTCCATAAATGTTTATACTGATTGTGAGAAAAAATCATTATGATTATTAACTATTGTGCATATATGTATATTTAAATATTATAAAATACTTGTCCTATTTTTAGCAAAAATAAACGGTGTGACTATATACATATTTTTCCAAGTCGATATTTTTTACGAAGTAATAATGTCGATAATAGGTCGAAAACTGCATAATTTTATAAAATAGTCTGCATTGTACAACTAGCTTAATATTCACAATGTCGAACAGCGCATTACAAAACACGTTACGATGCCCCTGCCAAGACGATAACATAATCTTTACACAACTCAGCTCAGGGAATTCTTGTTGTGAACGTAGAAGTAGACGTGGCAGCAATCATGTTCAATGTGAATGCAAATATTCATTAAACCATGTTCTGTTTGCAAATACTTTTTTTTCTGTTTAAAAGACTGTTTACAACCTTCATATTCGTCATTTTATTCCTTATTCGAATGGTACAAGAATTATACAGATAAAAGTTAAATCCTTGTCACACGATAAAAGATGAAAGCGATCAGTTTAATTTATCTCATTATGTAAAAGAAATCACCATAAAACTTTCGCTAAAAGTGTTATAATCAAAAGATTTTAATTGGATAAATAAATCCATTCTGTGTGTTGCAAGAATCATTAGGTTGATTCTGCGAATTCAAGAGAATTAAAGTAATGCTTTAGAAAGAGACAAATTGCTACTTTGATCACTTTCAATTTGTCAAAGTGTCTCGATTAGAGGACTTATCAAATTTGATATTCTTGGCAAAGAGAAAAGCAATAATGACATGTGGAAGACAACTTCGTGGCTTCAACCGTGTATGTCGTTTCGCTCGCGGCGATTGGCGCTGAAGAGATTATCGTCGCCGTTATGTCACACACGACTTGACAGACCAACTCCCGTTTACGAGAAACATATTTCGTCTACGCGCTTTTCACTTTTTATTATTCCTCTGACAGCTGCGGTTACCGAGCGTGCATTCGAAATCGTCCAAACAGGAAACATAGTAGTTTTAAGTTTATACACGCAAGTTTATCTCTCTGCATCCGCGATCTACAAGTTACGTCCATCAAGTATTTATCGACATGTAACTTGATGTGTAATTCATTGCGAGTAACCATTCGTATATAAAACAAGCCATTAGATTACTTAAGAAGAACTATAAATTTCATTGGAGATATATTTAACTATGTACACAAAAACAAAGTTTAATGAATAGTTTTACGTTTAATGCATACATATTTTTCTTTTTTTCTTTAATATTAAAAAGCTTATATCATACATTAAAAATGCATCTACGTGTATATATTATATTTTAAAAATACCTATAATATAATCTTTATAAACATTTATGTAAATTTATAATTAACATGTGAATCTCTCTCATTTTCTCTTCTTTCTGTCGTTTATCTTTTAGAAAATTTTTATTTTTAATCAAATAGCATATTGTGAATTCTTGAATTTATTATTGGCAATATAGCATCTCTCAAATTCAAGAACTTAGATACAACTTATAAAATTAAAAACTTACACAAAATTGAATTCAATTTATCGAAATATAAGCAAATGTTCCAGCGAACAGAATTACAAAAAAGATCTAAAAAGCTGATATCGCTAAATTATTAGTGTATTGTTATAACACTATTGTAAATCTCATACAATCACGTGTATCATTAGCTCAGCTTTTGCCTTCAATATTCCTCGCACGCAATCTTGATCGCGTAATATGAGCGTAAATAAAAAAATATTTTTTACAACATTTTTATTTTCTGCTGAATCACATACTGATATATAAGTATCGAAAAAATTCATGAAAAATTATTTTGAACAAGATGAAACATGAAAGTGATATAAATCTTGTAAAGTGTCTAAATAACATTATTTTTGAAGTTTTTTACGTATGTTATTATATTTTTAAAGCTATTCTATTGTATATCATTTTGTTGATTGCGTACAAAATGCTTATTCACACATGCTATAATTTATTTACTTAATATATAATAATGTAATATATGGTATGAAAGGTTCATTTGTACATCTTAAAAACTGTCAACTAGTGCTATAGTATTTTAATGATTGGCACATAATTACAAGATTCGCAATGACTCACATGCATACATGTGTTATTAATTGATATATCATAATTTCATAATCAATAATTATATCGAAATCTTTATGATAATATTATTCTATGTCCCACTCTCTTGTTCTATATACATAAAATATTTAAATAGAATAAATCATGTTTTTAATACAATGCACATTTTTTTTATAAGTTTTATCTCAAAATGATGAATAAGTTGAAGCATATAACAAAGCAAAATTAAATTATTTATTATTGTAAGTTAATAATATTCATTAACTGGTCCACAATATAACATTGTAGCGACATCTGAAGTATCAAAGAATAGTCTTGCAATATCTGTTTCGTTGCCATTAACAAGTTGCCAACAGCTGATCTTCATCATGTTATCAATGAAAGATTAAATATCTTAAATACGCATCATCGTCTAATTAAGTCATTATTTTCAACAGAATTAATTAAAATCACGCACAGAAAATATATTGTATGTTATATAAAAAACTGCACTATATGTACTATATTTATTAACTATAATATATCGATATTTCATGTGTGTGTATAATTTTTCTTTTTAAAAGAAAAATTATTAAATTATTTTTAAATATAGTAATTTTTGACATTTCTTTTTTATATCTTTTTTAAGTTTTTCGAATAGCACAAGATTTTCTGTATAAAAGTATATTTGAATATTAAATACCAAACTACATTTTCAGATACATTTTACGAAACAAAAACAAAACTTTCTAAAAAAATAGCAATTAATTTCATATTTATTATATCTTATTAAGATTTATAATAGTAAAATTAATATCAGCAGATTAATTAGTATGCCATGGCATAATTCATTTGTCGAATAAAATAAATGTTCAATTAATCATCGAGTCAAGACTTTGTCGATAGTTCTCGGCTCTTCTTCTTCCTTTATGCGATTCGAGTCATCCAGTTCGACTTCTCGCTATATATCGCTGGAGAGACATCGATCGCAAGACTCATTCTAAACACTCATGTACTGTCTTATCAGAAAACATTGTGTGCTACGTAGATTGAATGCAAGGTCATTTTTTCGACACGATTCATTCAGTTCCATACAAGAGGCTCCGTTGAACATATTAATCGGAAGTATGGTGCTCCTCGCGAGAATCGCCAAGTGCGAGGTAAAATGTCACTGTCATACTCGATAGGCCAGCTCTCATTTCGCACATTCTTCAAAAATATGTACGTGTGTTGCAACTGCAGTAGCAGACTACATTTGTATTAATTCAGGAAATTGGACCATTTCGTGGGCATCCGACGAAAAGGTGCAATCCACGTTAGCGCGAAAATCGAATCGCAAAGTGTTTCGCATGCATCTTTCTATGATTATTTTAAGTGCGCGTAAACATCTTTAAATTAAAAAAATTTCTTTTATATTTGTAAAAGTGTTGAGTGCTTTCGATAAAAATTGATATAAAAGTTTCGAGGATTTATAGATTGATATTTGTCTTTATTTACTATTGTTTACTTTCTCGTGTTGATAATCTGTCTTGCTTCATCATGTTAACAATCCTATTCCTTTCTTAATTATTAAAGTTACGTTTTATATTTTACGCAAATTGAATAATTAATCAATAAAATCTGTGAAAGATTTAAAATAAATTTTGTGTATATTGTGATACGGTATTTATTCATGTTTTATATTATCGGAAATATATATCTATTATATTTATGGCTTTAAAATAAAATTGATTAATCTCTCTTTGTGTATGCCAGATATTAATTTATTAATTATTGTGTTTTTAGCAATGTCATAATGTATTTGATATATAGTCATATTATAACATTTGAAAAAAAATTTTTAAAACAAAAATAAAGACTAAATTTTTATATGTAAAACAATAAACATCTTATAATAGCTTATAATTAATTTATAGCCATGTTTTGTTAAAAAAAGATATATTCCATTTTGCAAACAAATCTTTGCATGTAGTGTAGTTAAACTTATCTCACAGATGTTATCTGGATGAGCTGACACATTTATCAAAAATTTATGATTATGCCTAACAACATATGTATACTTAATCCGATAACGCAGAAAAACACGTTTAAATGCATTATGGTATATCGTTACATTTTATTACATTTTTAGAAAGATAAATAATGTGTGTTATAAAATATATTGCTATATATTAATTACTTATATGCATATATTGTTTTAGAAACAATATTTTTGGTCTAATAGTAAAATAATACTTTGAAAAAATTCAATTTTATTTAAAATTGATAACAATTTTTTAAATTTTTCTTAGAGATCTCGTGTTTTATTTTTATTTATTTTTAAATATATTATTTTTCTGACAAGTGTAGAATATATTTATTTTTGTATGTTCAATCTAAATAAATTATTAGAGTAATCTTAAACATAAAGAATATTTCAATTATTATTATTTTAAACGCGCCTAGAATGTGTTAATATTTACAAAGCGACAATTTTATCTCATCAATTGACCTTTTGACGACAATAACGAGGGGAGAATAATATCACCAATCTCGATAGAGGCTCTACAATTTCGTATAATGTGAAATAAATGATGATAAACAGTCGCCGGCTATAGTAAATCGTTATTCACTTATTGATTTAAAAGTTGCACTAGCGTGCAAATTTGCCTGCTATTTAAACGTATTCAAATATCTTGAGTGACGCAGCTTTATTGTCATTGACATATTTGCATTACCAATACTATAGAATCATACGATCATGTAATCTATGCATAAATTCGTAAAAAGGCATCTTGCACATATATTTACATCTATAAATGAAATAAAGAACATTTTATTGAAATGCAATAATAAATATTCGATGAGTTGGCAAATATTCACATTCCACGTATATGTGTGTTAGAAAGCTTTCAAATATTTATATTTTATTAACTTCTAAAATAAAGAATTCTATATATTAATGAGAGTATGGTTTCTTTTTAGATAGGATTTTTGTGTTAATTGCATGTAGTTCAATGTGCATGAAAATCATTCAAAAATTAATTTAAAAATTTTGTTTTATTAAAATAATATTGATACATTAAACTTTTATTTGTACGTTAATTTTTAGTGATACATATCATTATGTATATTGTTATAAACAAATTATTTAAATAAAAATATGACATGATGTATTTTTTGCACGCAACAAATTAATATTCAAATAAATATTTCAGGCACGGTTTGTCATCAGATCCTACAGTAATGCTGCTCCGACGGTCAAAATGTACATCGATGGGCAATTCGTAGGTAATCATTGATACGTTTTACTTATTTATATCTTTTTTGCCAAATTTTTTTATTTTTCTTGGTTTGTCATAAATGCGATTTATTCTTTCAAAGCTTATGTTTTTATTTTTTGTGCATAAAATTTAGTTTTAATGCTTTCGACCGTACAATTTAGATTTTTAGATATCGAGTTTGTAAGTCGAATTTTTTTTTTTTTTTTTTGCAGAATCAAAAAGTACAGAATTCACGGATGTCCATGATCCAGCGACGAATCAGTTGCTATGCCGCACTCCAAAATGCACGAAGGACGAAATGGAAAATGCGGTGCAGAGTGCACGGAAGGCATATGAGAAGTGGCGGTACACAAGCGTGCTAACGAGACAAAATTTGATGCTAAAATATCAGGCTCTCATCCGTGAACACTCGGTCAGTTTATTAATGCATTTTAAAGCCTAAATTGAATATTATACTGATTAAATAATATCGCGTTGACAAAATGGAAAAGATGAAAATAGTAAAATACATTAATAATAGTAATATATTATAAATTTGGATGGTGTTAACGAATTTTGCATCGGCGAAGTGAAAAATCTGGTATTACTGCGACAGTAGTAACGGACGGCAAAGTACTGACGACAAAATGTGTACATCAACTACTGAACAAATTTTTCACTATCACCAATCAGTGTTCAATGAATATTTTATATAATCGAATATTTTATATTAAAATATCTTTATATCTTATTCATTTATCCTCAGAAAGAAATTGCGCAGAATCTTGTGAAGGAAAATGGAAAGACTATGGCTGACGCAGAAGGAGATGTGCTTCGAGGTCTTCGTAAGTATTATGTTAGATTATATAAGTTTATATAAATTATATAAACGACAATATCTAAATTTAAATGACTTAATATCTAGTGTGTTACCTCTAACGATTTCTTATTGATTAATCGAAGTTAGTAGAAGATAATAAAAAACACATTGAAAATAAATATTATACAATAAATAAAATATTATAAAAGCAAAAAAAATTTATGAATTTGTGCCATTTTTTATATAATAATTTAAAATTAATCATTTCACATATGATTATTCTTTATGTTTATAAATCGATGCTTAATTATGCGGTGACAGAGGTCGTCGATGCCTGCGCGTCGATTCCGACACTCCAGATGGGTGAATCCACGGCCAACATTGCTACAGACATGGACATCATCTCGTACAAAGTTCCCCTCGGCATTACTGCATCTATTTGTCCCTTCAACTTTCCTGCCATGATACCGCTTTGGTCGTTCCCAATATCGGTCGCATGCGGGAACGCCGCAATTCTGAAGCCATCGGAGCGGGTACCAGGTGCGTCTATGATCCTCGCTGATCTCTTTACGAAAGCCGGTGCACCAGCTGGTCTTTTAAACATAATACACGGTCAGCACGCAGCCGTGGACTTCATTTGCGAGCATCCTGATATCAAGGCTGTTTCCTTCGTCGGTTCTGATCAAGCGGTAAGCGAAGATGAAAGCAGGACTGGAAATAATATCGAAACTGTCTTCCGTGCTTCATCGCAAATCGATCTTCTCCTTCTTGCTTTTTTTCTCTATACTACACACGATAAAAAAAAATATACTAAGACAATATATAAAAAAGACCGAAAAAAAAGTTTTATATTATAATCGAAAAATTTCTTAAATATACATCTACAGGGTAAATACATCTACAAGCAGAGCAGCGCACATGGCAAAAGGGTACAATGCAATATGGGTGCCAAGAATCATTGCATCGTCTTGCCAGACGCAAATAAGAACAAGACGCTGTCGCAAATTGCCGGTGCGGCTTTCGGAGCCGCCGGGCAACGGTGCATGGCACTTTCGGTGGCCATTTTCGTAGGCAAATCTAAAGAATGGATACCCGAATTAGTCGAAGCGGCAAAGAGATTAAAAGTAAACGCTGGTCACGTGCCCGGCACCGATCTCGGACCTGTTATATCGTCCCAGGCGAAGCAGAAAATTTGCGAACTGGTAGAATCCGGTGTTAAAGACGGCGCGAAATTGGTTCTCGACGGAAGAGGTATCATTGTACCCGGCTATCAAAATGGAAACTTCGTTGGACCCACCGTGTTAACCGATGTTAAGGTAAAATAATGTCTACGTTATAATAAAGTGATTAATCAAGACTGCAAATGCAGTAAGCTGCGAAGCAAATTTTTATGGAAAATTAATAAAAATTAAGCTTTAAAATTTTGTGATCATAGAAGAAAAGCGCGCTCTTTTAAAGCATGCTTTTTAAAATAAAATAAAAAAATTAAAATGAGTTTTTATAACTGTTCACATCTGAGAGTATCATCTATATTTTTAACAGAAACCTTCACATATACAAAATAAGAGTAATGTCGTATTTTAATTCAATATCGTTATTACATTTAATTTGGATATATTTTAGATTGTTTGATATGTATATTACAGCCTACGATGAAGTGTTATACGAACGAAATATTCGGGCCCGTTTTATCATGCATGTTCGCCGACACTACCGATGAAGCCATCGACATCATCAATAAAAATCCTTATGGCAATGGCACGGCAGTTTTCACGACAAATGGCGCGACAGCTAGGGCATTCGTGAACAAAATCGAAGCTGGCCAAGTTGGCGTTAATGTACCCATACCAGTACCCCTACCAATGTTCAGCTTTACGGGTAACAAGGGTTCCTTCCTCGGCGATAACCATTTTTATGGGAAATACGTGAGTAGATATAACTTCACGTGACTTCATTCTAATAAATTCATCTATTTATCAAAATATGTCATATTTATAACTCTTTACAATAATTTTTAAATTTTTTAATTCTAATCGATTACTTTTAAGCTAATTAAAATTTATTATTTATTTACTTATAAATAATAATATTTATAAATAAAAAATATATTGGTGTTTAAACGATATATAGATGAAAGATATCTTATTTGCACAAAATTTAAATTATCTTTTTCTGCATTATATATTGCATATGTACAATTTATAGGAAAATAAAAGTAAATAATAATAAAGCTAATTTTTGAACAAATAATAAATGTGAATGCTAATGCTTTTTTATTATTGTTACAATATTTTAGGGTGTAAATTTTCATACGCAAACGAAGACAATAACTCAATTATGGAGATCCGATGATGCTAGCGATATAATATCATCGACTGCGATGCCTACAATGCAATAAGACTGTAATTGTGTATAATTGTACAATATAACAAACTATTGTTCAAGTCTTTCCAAATTTTACAAGTGTAGCTGTATAAAGCTCATTTCTGCAAATTCGTTACGCAGTTATAAACGATGTCTTCCATTTTATTACATACAAATCTATTACTATAAATGAATGTATTGTTATAAGTTAAATAAACTATATATATTTTTTATAGTTTAATAAAATATAGTCCATCTCTCTTGAAAATATTGGTACTTTCATTTACGTCTTAAAAATAAAAATTGATTTATTGACGGAAACTATAGATACCAAATGACATACAAAATTTATGTCATTATCAACTAATCAAATTATGTAAAATAATCACTATTAAAAAAATATATCTCGCGAATAAAATTTATTTTTATTAATGTTAATTAATTCGTTAATAAAAAAAAAATCTATTCTATATTAAAATATTGATTTATGTTAATAAACAAATTAAAAAATGAAGTAAATTGTAACAATTTTTGTATTAACTCTTAACTAAAAGCGCTTTGTTAAATATAGTAATGCATTTTAATTTTAAGAATATAATTCGTACAATAGAAAATAGCGAACGCGATTTTTTTTCTCTATCGATCAGTATCTCATCCAGTGCCAGTCGCGACCGTAATTTGGCGCGCGGGCGGTGCCAGGCAAAAATATGCCTAAAATTCGATAGTACAAGCGCCAAAAGAAGTTCACGGTCGACACCTCCTAATTCGTCCTTGAACCCTCGACTCCGCGAACCCGCGCGCGGACATCCATCCCTTGGCGATATTCGAAGCGACTTCCGGTAGTCGGGGACGATGTATGCGCCGACGCGCGCACCCTGTCGTCGTCGTCGTCGTCGGGTCGCATCTGCGCATTTTCCAGCTGAGTTTCCTTCACAGGCGAGGTTCTGCCTGTCCCGGATTGTCGTGTACGCGCCGACACACCAGACCGGCAGGAAAAACTACGGGAAAATCTTCGACTACCGTTTCACATATCGTGAGTATCGTCGATTTATCTGTGATCGTGATCCTCGATCTAGCTTTTATTTTCTTCCGTTTTCGTTTCTCTAGAAATCAGCTTTATTCGATATATGGAAAGACCTGTCGAGAATAATTTATCTGATTTTCCGAGGAGGACTATCGACGTTCCTATCAAATAAGTCGTCCATAGTTAAAGATTCGTTATTAACGCTAGAAGCTATTAATCATTCGAAATGTTGAGCGTTGAGAGACTGCTGTTTCTCTCGTTTCTGACACTCGATAAACCTACAATAATTTTTTAAACAAGTTGTCGGCATCGACACCGGTTAAGCGGAGTGTAATTGATCATTTTGGATTTAATTTCCGGCGTATAATACTCATTTGCCAAATGTATGGTTCATCATAATATTGATAGCGTCGATCATGACTGCCAGTGTGTTTATTTTTAGGATCATTGCATTAAAAAATAAAATTTGTATTAATATATATTTCTTCGAATCTTTTTTTAATCATATTATTTAGTTTTAAATTTATCTTCACATATCTTTATCTCTTTATAAATCAAATAATTTTTCTTAATGACTTAATTAAATCGACTAATTAGTAAAATAATTACTTTGCCCATATATGCAAGAAGAAGAATATTGTTTTCTCAATCAGACTGAGTAATGCTCGTATTTGATTATGATTTTACTCTTCACTGTCATACATGTCGAGTGATCATCAAATCAGAAATATTAATCGTGTATACATTTTAGTTTTGCCTTTCCACATCTCCGAACTTGTTGACATGCTTTAAACAATGGGGCTTTTAAATGTCAAGCGTTTTCTACGCGAATTAATTTACAAACGTTTTCTATTTTCGTTATACTTAATGTCTTAATTAAACATTGTTTGACGATTGAATTTTATTAACGACCTGCCGAGTTTATTGCAAATTCAAATACCGCAAAATCTTTAATAATAAATAAAGCGTGAATGGCCCGTTTATTTTTTGAAATGTTAAAATTATTTTTAGGCGTTTTATTTTTTGATATTTTTTAAATTTATAACTAAGTTTAAAAATATGCCAAATGCTATGACACAATTCCCCCAAAAAATCTGCACAGAATATTTATAGAAGTTTTATAAAATTCTTACAAAGCAATATAACACAAAACAGAAGAACTTTTCCTATTTTTTCCTTTTGTGAAATGTATATTTAATGGAGTAATTCGTTATACAAAAAAATGTTCATGCAAGAAAATATCGTTTCAAAGTAGTCGGTCTAATTAAAGTTCTTAATATATTCATTAACTCTCTCTTCGCTATTTCAAAAAGCTTCTAAATTCGATCTTTTAATTAAGCATTTTTATCTCGCAAACAGCTTCCTCGAAAGAAAAAAATTATTTAAGCACCTCTAACTTCGGCTCACGCGAACATTTCATCGCTTTTCCTTTGCATTAGTACAACGAGACTCTTTCTGACAGCATGAATAATTATGTATAAAATGAAAACGTGATGCCAGAGAGACTGCACTACAGCGATTTGTCGAGAGACAAATTATTTCGTGTCGTATAGTTTTGTATTGTATCTATTTTGAGTATTTTAAGGCTGATTCTTTACAAGATAATAAATGCCAGAAATGTCGTTTCAGGAATAGATTCTTGAATCTAAAAAAACTCGAGGCAACCAAACAATATTGACATACATAAATGTGTCATATATTGATATAAACTGCCCATTCGAAAAATCGAGGTACATACTTTCATATGGCGTGATAGATAATTTTATTACACCGAATGTTATTGCACTGAATGCTCTACATTCCGTAAAAATAAATCAGTAAACATAATAGTACATAAAATATATCGTTTATAATAGAGAGCTATGAACAAAATCATTGTTACCTGTTCTGCAATTGCGAGATTGATCCCAAAAATAAACACACATGTTATTTAGTATTATAATTTGTATTACAGTTTAGTATGATTTATTTTATAAAATTTTATTTGATGTTACTTGCCGTTCAGTGGATTATAGGAAAAAATTTTTCAGAACAATTTTCCGGTTAATCTATTTTAAGTGTAATATCGCGAACACAATGATATTTTAATTTTGCGATAATATCCTGTATAAAATCTTTGATTTAATTTTCTTTTCAATGTCAAAATTGATTTTAAATGCCGTACATCATCGACTCGTTTCTTTCCTTTGCTTTGTTTTTTTTTTTTTTTTACAATTACAATAAAATTGGAAATTTTGGTAACAGTGCAGAAAATTCCGCACTGAATAATCGCACTCGTGAAAATAGATATCTAAGGCTATTCAACTGACAGAATCATATATTTCTGGCCAGTTGAAGGATCGCCGCCGTGTATCTCTAACAAGATCTATCCTGACAGGTTGAATAATTATGTACAAAACGGTGCGGAAAGGCGATGCTAGCTTGCAGTACACGATACTGCCACAGACGGATCAGTTCTCGTCCGGCGGATTTCCGCAAACTTCCGGTAAGCCCCGGCCGAGGATCATCAAGTATACGATGGGCACTGTGATGGTGCTCATTATACTGTCCTGCGTGGCCACGCCGTTCCTGATGAATCAGAATGATCACAACCTTTTCGCCAGCACGATGCTGGCGATGAGCCGAGTCGAGCCAGTCAGAAACACATCGAGAAGCCAAACGAAGGACATTGGTGTTAGTAAGAACAGAAGCAGGATTCCGACTACGATGGTGTCGACGACCGAGGTCACTAGGAGGAAAGACCTCGAAGATAGCACGACCTCTTTCAACGGAATTCTCCGAGCGAAGGAAGAGGAGGAAGAGGCGGTAGTTGATGATACCACGTTAGCAGGTATTGTTTTGCTTGAATTCTAAAGACAAGCGATGATACATGCGAGCGGATAATTACGAGCAAAATATTTTTTTAAAGTAATATATGATGGGGTTTTTGATATACTGATAAAAATAAAAATATCCCAATATTTGGTATTTAATTTCATTGTTTGTATTGATGAATGATATCTCTGTTTTCATAAATTATATATTTCATTTGTCATCGTAAAGTAATATATTGTACATCTAAAATAATATTATATTACACAAAGTAATATATGATCTCTTACTTTTGTCCACAAAAATTCTCTCTGTTCTTTATTTAAATTAAAACGAGCGTTACGAAATCGATCACGAAATTTAATTTCACCGTTTTTAGAAAACTACAATAAAATGTAAATATCGGGTTTAAAACGGATTCTAGTCTTACGTAAATTTATTAAGACATTCTGTTATCAATTTTCCAATTAAGTTAGCGATAATACGTAGATACCAGTCACAACATAATTGTTGTTCCTGCGTAACTCATAAACTCAGACAATTCTCTCTTTTCAGACATATCGGAAATTAGTACGCAAGCAATTCCAAGCACGGAAACGTCGATGAGCGTCCGTCAAACGGTGACGACTTCCGTTTTACCGCCGACAACGGTCCTTTCGGCGTCCTCGAACGGCACGACAGAAGACACGAAGATGGCGAGCACGCCGAAAAAGCCAAAGATGCCAAGGGTGACCCTGAAACTGCGCGAAAACGAAACCATACCGCAAATGTATATGAAGGCTGGCATAGCTTCATACAAAAAAGGCAACATCACTACTAGCGTTCTCGCGCCGCGCCTCAGCCTCGAGGGCCTGATATTCAAAACGCCGGAGGGCACGATAAAGCCCTGGCCTCAGAAGTGGTTCTTCAGCGATCCCTCGGCCGACTTTCAGTGGAAGGTAAGTGCTCCTCTATTTCTCGATCAAATGCTCAATACGTCCTTGGAGATAAATTGCGTTCAAGGAGACTTTCGGAATATATATCCTACATTTTTTAATAAAGTGCATCGATTATTGTGCAAATCATCTGTGCAAAAATTTGCTGACTTGTTTTTTCGCGCGTCTTGACTTTTTCTCTTTCCGGTATTTCTCTTTGAAATATCTTTCCAAACAAATTTTTTTCGAATATTCCACTTCTATAGTTTTTTCTGTTGTAATTTTTATTATACTTTTTTTCTTTAAATAAAAAACTCGCCGAATGTTGTCAAAACTCGGCGTGTTCGTTTACGTTTTTTCACTTACTTTTTGATATGAATAAAAGCACTTTTAAAAATCTGTTAGTTTTTAAAAAAAATATATCAATGTCTCGAAATTACTTTCCACTGGAAACTCTTATATTTCTCGTTTTAAAGCATTTCTAGATTTATCAGTCTCGCTCACAAAAACTCATTTCGTTACCGCCGTTATTATACTTTACAGAATTTTATAGGATAATATTATACCCGGCTGTATGATCCACAAGATATATTATGTCATGCATTCTTCTTATATCTTTAAGTCTACTAGTCGTCTAGCTGTCGACTCGAAATTTTGCGTCCTGCATAAATATTGATCGCCTTGCACCAAAGACATCTAAACTGAAGCACTCTGTCCGATCGATAGGCAGAGCATGTTCGTGAATCTAAAAGCAGACGAGCAATCGCTCGAAGCCTTTATTTTTCCCGTACGTTTCCCACCGGGACAGCAGATGTACTTTTATTTCTCTCTTGGAAAATTGCAGAACGTGACGTTATATATAACAATTTCTACAAAATGTCTCATGATATCGTGCCCTATCATATTTATATATATATA